TGAAGTAACAAATATGATTGATTTTCAAATAACATATTTATTTACTTTAAATAAAATATTTTTTGAATGAATTTTATTTTTTCTTCAACTTAAACAATTATATTATTCTTTGAAACAATATTATTGTTTTCTTTAAAAGATTCATTATGTTGCTTTGAACAATTTAAATAAAGCTTAGAAAAAGTTAGATAAAGTTAAATTGCATGTTACTGCATCTTTCTAATCAAATCTTTGCAACCACCATAGCATGTAGAAAAGCTTAACGTTACTTATTCGGAATTTCTGTCCGAATAAATGAATATCGAACATTTATCTGTTCGATTTTCCAAAAATCAGTTCATTATCTGAATTCTCCTCTATGGATATCGTATCAGAAATGAAACTAATAGAAATAGTTGTTAAATGTTATTAGCCGCATGTTGCAGGCTTTATACATATACGTTTATGACAGAAACTTGAATACAAGTATAGTGAAGTATAGCGCGTCGCATAGGGGTAAGAGAATAAACTATACTATACCAAATAATAGTTATTTTCCCGTCAAACAATATGGTTTACGGCAACGAATTATTAAATTTTTACTCAACAAAATAATGTTTCGTATAAAATTATGTTTTTGTAACGAAACAAATATAAGTCAAACAAATAGATATATTAAATTTAAAGAAACCTTTTTCTCTGTGTGATCTTTAACTGGACGTTAACTTATCTGAAATTTCTTGGTATATGCTTCAACATCTTTTTCGAGGTATTCATAGCGCACCGAACGCTGAATCGTATCCAAAAAACATTGAGTCCCCGAGTTACGAATTGGCTCGTCTCGAGACGCGATTTCGCGCGATGTACTTAATCTGCATTTCTGCAAGGCGAGTTACAAATAATAGTTAGCGATTGGCGAGGATGATATAAACGTTATTCGATGTATTTATAACCATTAGATATTATACGGATCGTATTTTTAACCGGTTCACAGCCCGATGGCGGAAAGAGATTGCCAAGTGTGTTATTTATAATTCGCAATCAAAGATGAAGAAACAATAGCCATACGCGAGATTCTTACTCATCGAAAAACGAACAAACATCAATCTCCGATAGTATACAAGTGTATGGGCTCGCAAAAATATGTATACTACAATATATGTGTATATATCCACTTGAAAAATTGAGAATTGAAGAGAATAAATTATTATCCGATAACGTATCAGCTGTCACATCTCTATTGAGAATACGCATCGCGAAAGATAAGATAAGCAAAACCATAAACTTTACGTACAGTTTCCATAAACATTGTGTATAAAAATATAAACTGAGTTGACTCTTATTTCCGCTAATTGAAAAAAAAAGATGGTAGTAATTCAAACGTATTCGATAAAAAATACTAATATCGAATAACCCGATACATTTCTCTGGTGCAAAATCTAATAAGAGATAAAAGAAATATTGAAATAGAAATAATATAATGAAATATTATGAAAGGAAGATATACCGAGTAAGACCAAATTGAACTGGAGATTGAAAAGGATGATCGGCTCCCGAATGAAAGAAGCGTCCGACATCGATTAATCGATCAAGTATGGCTGACAATCAGTTGCTAGCGCGAGGCGCGCGTCTGACAGCGACTGTCTATTTCTACTTGCAGCGCTACGCTCGGTTTACCATCCTCCCGGGAACGAGACGTGAGCCGCGGCGGTTTAGAGTCTCATGCCACAATTCTACATCCTATAAACGAGTCGGGAACACTTGACGGTAGTCGTTATTCCGGCGGCGTTATTAACCCTTAATCGGTCTTCGTGTATCTTGGCATGCGTCCCGGCAAAAATCATTATTTTCGTCTCGCTTTCTCATTCTGACACTTTGGCAGAACGCGCACTCTAGGAAGTTTACCCTGCCTAATTTTACAAGCGATACGACTCTGTCACGAGAATCGTGTTCGAATTTTATTTTATATTTAAAAAAAAAAATATCTTTTTTTTTTTAAAGTAGAGGAGAAAGACGTCAATCTATCGATTACGGTTAAAAAAGGTGAATCACTCGAGACATTAATCGATGAAGTCCGATAATCTAAGGTATCCTCAATTAGGCTACTCGCGTATAAATATATAATCAGCCTCGCTGTTGCCGTGCGTGAACCATGTCTCTTGATAAAAGAAATATAAAAAGTATTAAAAATATAAAAAAATATATGAAAAAATATACTTTTGTAAAATGCATGAACTTTATGTAGATATGATCTCATCGAAGAAAAATCGCGATAATTTTTCTTTTCATTTTCTTCTCCCTCGCGTGTAAGATTTAATGATAGCATTAACGTTAGTTAACGTTATAGTTCTAGAACACGTTACGGAAGAAAAATTAGAAAATCTTTAACTCGTTCCTGCCCGATTGCCTATGATATGAATTTATTTGCGCAGCTCGCGATACATAAAAATTTCCACAGTTCTCGCTTTAATATCCAAATTACTCTTTTGTAAATAATCTCTAGCATCACGAGGTTCAAGGCTGAAAGATCTCGCCTGTACGTAACTATTTATATTTCCGCTAGCCGTCGTCGATCATTATACGAGCGTCGAAATTCTATTCGACGGAGGATCCATTTCGCCGGGAAAGCGATGGGTATTCAGGTCTCGTCAAGACGTACGTACATAATCCGCCAAACATTTTGATGCTCCGCGGACGGGCAGAAAAATAAGCGTCCCCTCGTCAAGCTCGCGCTAAATCGTTCCCGACGACGAGAAGAGGGAAGGAAGAGCGCGGTGTCGGACGATGTGCGAGCGG